AGATTCGTTTAATGTGATCACCGGAGTTATGCCAATTCTACTAAATGTGTTGAACAGCAACGACCAGCGAGTTGTGGAACAAGCATCGCTTTGCGTCACTCGTATAATCGAGAGTTTCAAATATCAGTCATCGAAGTTGGAGCAGCTTGTCAGTGTGGATTTACTGAAAGTCATATTGCGGCTTCTGGTTCCTGGAACCACAAATCTCATCAGCGCCAATATTCACACCCAATTCCTCCGGGTTCTGGCTATCACGGCCCGTGCAAGCCCGAGCTTGTCAGCAGAACTCTTCAAGTTAAATGTCGTCGAGACTCTCTATCAGATCCTTACCGGTGTCTCCCCTCCTAGTGAGACGGAAGATGTCGCTTCGAAGCTTGATAGTGTAGTTATCATGCAGGCATTGATCCATCGACCGCGTGAGCAAATTATCGAGACTCTTAACGTCGTCTGCGAATTGCTCCCAGGTCAGAAGTGGACGGACGGTTCGGGCCCCCCAGTCCCAGTCGATCTCGATATTGCCGAGCCCGTTACTCCATCATCGTTTGCTTCCAGGAAGAAGTCATTTGATGAGAAGAGACTCGAGCTGCTCGACGAGTGCAAGGACCAAGTTCGAAGATTTGCGTTGATCCTCTTCCCTACCCTGACGGACGCATTTTCGAGCACAGTAAACTTAAGCGTTCGACAAAAGGTGCTCACTGCTCAGCTGAAGATGCTATCGAACTTGGATAAAGATATTCTCGTCGATGCTCTGAAGGCTGTTCCCTATGCTTCGTTCTTGGCCTCTATACTGTCGCAACAGGATCATCCTTCACTTGTAATGTCTGCCATTCAGATAACGGAACTCCTGCTAAATCGGCTGGATGATATCTATCGCTACCAGATTTATCGTGAAGGGGTTATCATCGAGATCATGAAGCTGGCGGCTGAGTACCAAGAGCCCGAGAATAGGGCGACTGAGACGCCGGCAGACCATAGTATGGCGTCCGGAGACGAAGGAGACAGAGTCTCGATACATAACGGCTCTGGAGATGAGGACGAAGAGGACCGTGAAGACGACGATGAAGACGACGATGAGAACGACGATGAAGATCAAGAAAATGATCATCATGACGACATGTCCGGTTCGCCTGCTAGTTCTGACGGATCTACTATGTCCATCGACGGGCCACCTCGACCCTATGTGGGAGATATCCCATCTATGAAGACTCGCATCGCCGAGACCGCCAAGAAATTTTTAGAGACTCACGAGACAGAAAAGCATAGTAAATCCATGAAGAAGAAGGCCAAAAAGATCCTAGATAATCTTGAAGCCCTTGCTTCTGGGATTGAAGGATTTTATCTTCGAAGGACTGCCAAAGACCTGTCTCCTGAGAATGGGGCCGTCCTATTTGAAAAACTAGCATCGTATTTCGATGCTGACGTCTTGGACAGCGTTACAAGCGCAGAGCTGCTCTCTTCAGGGCTTGTGCGCGTTCTAGAAGAGGTTTTCAGCAACCCCGACGAGATGCTAGCAAATGCTGCGCGAGCCGCATTCCTTGAGGTCTTTATGGGTCGTTACGTGAGTACAAAACCGAAGACCGCAACCGCAGATTCTCCTGCGACGCCCTTCAGTATCTTGATCCACAAACTTCAAGATCTACTTAGTCGGTCGGAGCACTTCGAGGTTATTACCGTCCACCATAGCACGTTTGATGGCAATCGTAGCAGCGCGGCGTCCATGTTGGCGAAGCAGATCAGACTTAGGCTGGTTGCTGACGAAGACTCTGATATCCCTCGTTCGTTCCGCAGCATCAATGTCCACATCCATGCAATTGCAACCTTTAAAGCTCTAGATGATTGGTTACGACCCCGAATTAGCCTACACGAGCGCCCTCGTGGCCCGAGACCCCGTGACGGACTATCTCGAGCACTCGCCGCGATGGCCAGCTCGGCAGGATTGTCGTCAGCCGAACGCCTCGCTGAGCGGTTAGGATCAAGCTATTCGGCTGCTGCTCCTCCGCCTCCGGTTCCGAACCAGGCTTCCGGCTCTCGTCCGCCACGGAGATCCAAGTCGAAGCAACCGGGACAGTCCGATACCCCATCTACTCCAGGTTCGGTAGCAGGCTCCACCCGCGAGAAGGCAATTCTGCGCAGATCTGCGCGACGCCAACCAGCTCAGCCAAGCGAGTCTCATACTCCGGCACCGCCGCCTCCGCCTCCGGAAGATGACGAAGATTTGCAGAATGCACTGGAATGCGCCGACGAAAAGCCGATCACTGACGAGGATGAAGAAGTCGAGGCTGCTGATACTAGTGCTCTCGACGCTATAGTAGGCGAGTTGGACGAAGATATGGAAGATGCCCCTGCCCGCGAACCATCCGCGGTGAACTTGGTGGAGGCAGCTGGAGGAAAGATTACGGCCAGGAAAGAAGATGGAACCCGAGTTCCTACTCCAGCTCAGACTGGTGGTACCAACCTCCCAAGCCGCAGCGCCCCACCTCAACCCCCAGCATCGCAGCAGAGTACGCCTACTCCTAGCGCTCCGTCGACTTCTCGACCACTTTCTTACGCAGCTGCCATCCAAGCTGTACCCCAAGATTGGCATATCGAATTCAGTCTTAACGAGCGGGTCATTCCGAACGAGACAACTATTTATCGGGCTGTTCACAACAATTCGTCGCCTCCTGACGATCACGTTAACCGCAGTGTTTGGTCAACGATGCATGTCATCAAATTTCGTCGCGTGCCAGGGCCTCCTCCGGCCGAACCTATTGGATTTGGGCCTTCATTTGACGGCGTACCCGACGTTAACGGTGTACCCGCCTCGCTTGCGAACAATCCTACAACGGCGTCTATTCTCCGCTTACTGAACATTCTACACGATCTCAATGCGAACATTGACGACATTATGGTAGAAAACAAGAACACTCTGAAATTGAACGTCGAACCCCTATCACAGTTTGTGAATACAAAGTTAACTGCCAAACTCAACAGGCAATTGGAGGAGCCCCTTATAGTGGCCAGTAACTGTTTACCGGGTTGGAGCGAAGACCTAGCCCGGCTATATCCGTTCCTTTTCCCCTTCGAGACCCGCCATTTGTTCCTCCAGTCGACATCGTTTGGCTATGCGCGATCTATGAGTCGATGGCAGAATGCGCAGCAGGAGGAGACGTCTCGCCGGGACAGGCGTGATGATAACATCTTCCTCGGCCGACTCCAACGTCAGAAGGTACGAATTTCGCGTTCCAAAATCTTGGAGTCGGCGTTGAAAGTAATGGAACTGTACGGAAGCTCACAGAGTATTCTCGAGGTTGAGTACTTTGAAGAGGTTGGGACGGGTCTTGGACCTACTCTAGAATTCTATTCGACCGTCTCGAAAGAATTTTCCAAGAAGAAACTCAGGCTCTGGCGTGATATGGATTCCAATGACTCGGACGAGTTTATTTCTGGTCCCGCTGGATTATTCCCTCGACCTCTAAGCGATGACGACTCGAGCGCAAATGTAATTCTCCAGCTGTTTAAGATGCTAGGGAAGTTTGTTGCACGATCTATGATCGATTCACGGATCATCGACCTTAATTTCAATCCCATCTTTTTCCGAATCGGTGAAGGATCTTCGAGCGTAAAGCCATCCCTTGGTGCCATCAAGATTGTAGATCCTGGACTAGCCAATTCACTGAAGCATATCAAGAAGTTCGCCATGGCAAAGAAGGCTATTGACGAAGACCCTAACCGTACTGCCGCGCAGAAGGTCGCCGACACTGAGAAGATTGTGGTGGACAATGGAACATTAGAGGACCTAGCGTTGGACTTCACACTGCCAGGCTACCCCGAAATTGAGCTCATACCCGGGGGATCTCATATTCCTGTTACGATCTACAACGTTGAGTCATATCTCGATAAAGTAACCGACTTGACTCTGGGTCGCGGTGTTAAGCGTCAGGTTGAAGCATTCCGCACCGGCTTCTCCCAGGTATTCCCGTACTCCGCCCTGAGCGCTTTTACGCCGGATGAGTTGGTGGCACTATTTGGTCGTGTTGATGAGGATTGGTCTCTAGAGAGTAAGTTGTGTTCATTCGTGAATGACGCCGATGAAGCTAACATTTCTTTTTTAGCTCTTATGGACTCTATAAAGGCAGATCACGGCTTCAATATGGACAGTAAATCTGTTAGGAACTTGCTCCAGACCATGAGCGAGCTTAGCCCTGCACAGCGCCGTGACTTCCTACAGTTCACTACCGGCAGCCCAAAACTTCCTATCGGAGGTATGTATTGCGATTTCGTGTGCTATCAATGTGGTTCTAACTGTAGCTATAGGTTTCAAGAGTCTGACCCCTATGTTCACTGTGGTGTGCAAGCCTAGTGAGCCACCCTACACATCTGACGACTACCTTCCAAGCGTTATGACTTGTGTCAACTACCTAAAGTTACCCGACTACAGTAGTATCGATAGCATGAAGCGGCAGCTATTCACTGCTATCAGGGAAGGTCAAGGTGCCTTCCATCTGTCCTAAGTATCTATATCCACTGGCATAATGGGCAGTAAGAAAGCGCAATATTATACGTGCTAATATCGCCAGTACATGGATGGCATTGATGAGCAAAATGAGGCATTGATTTATTTATTTCTCCCCCATTCGCCTCCCTAGCGCAACTGACTAGGGAGCGGTTGTTGTTGTTGTTTTTTTCCCTTGGCAAACCAGCCATAATTCCTTTCTGATGCCCCATCATGACTCTTGACAAGAAGGAAGTTGGCACAAAGCACAAGAGAGATATGGAGGGGTTTCGAGAGGACTTGTCTGATGCATGGAAAGGTTGTTTCGGCGTAGGAATGAAACATGATTCCCGGCAGGATTTGGCATCAGACTGGACAGCCCTGACGCAAGGCTTAGTGCTTACTTTGTTTTACTTTCGCAAAAGGGGTGTGGCTTTCATCGGTAGATAGACTGGCCAATTTGTCTAAGTATTAGTTCACAACTCGCTCGCCTTTATACTTTAGTCAATAGTGATTTGCTACTTTGCTACTTTGCTACCATTATGGTCTTGTGTGATAAGTCCTAATAATGAAATCCTCGATATCTATAGCTAATACAATGCTCGTTTAAGGTATATACTTTTTTTCTTCTTAAATCCTACCCGGCCAAAGTGTTGGAAAATAATCTAGTCTACATTAAACACGATGACTTTATTTCTATAACTTTGACTCCGAACCAGCTAGAGATCCGCTCTTCCTCGGTGGTGGACGACCAACATTATCTATGAACTTCTCACTCATTGTCGTCTTCTCCTTCATTGGCAACTTAACCCACTCCTCGTACTCGCGCTCCTTCTCTCGCCAGCGCACCATCTCTTTTCCTATCCACGCTGCTGCATGTTTTGCGCATTCATCCGGAATTTCCATCGGAAATAAGTGGCCGCGGCCCTCCAAGACAACCTGGTCCACCCGTCCTAGCTTAAGACCACCGCTGCCCCCACTTCCAATCCCACAGGTTTCCGTCTTCAACTTGCGGCCTTCCGGAGCGCCTAGCTCGCTGTCTCCACCGAAGACCCAGAGCACGGACGGCCGCACCTCAGGGAGATGCTTGAGGATACTACCTCCCTCGGACCGGTAGAAGGGGAACACGCTGGTTGGATCCCGAAGTTGATGCTGCACATCCGGGTCGAAATCCGGGGCTCCGTCGCGGTCGACTTCCCGGGTTACGGGGTCGACGTAGGGCCACAGAGGCCGGAAAAAGGTAAACACCTCCTGGTGCTTGGTCGTGCGCAGCGTCGCGCCGCCGTCTTTCTTCTCCGGGTCGGGGAATAACGCGGTGGGCGTCTCGCGCAGGGCGTGCGCGACCCAGGCGTCGAGGACGCGGGGGTCCCAGGCGCGGTAGAAGGGGCTGCGGCGGAAGGACTCGGCGGCGGCGGCGCGGGAGGGCCAGGTCTCGCGGCGGAAGGTAGACGCGCGGGCGGGGGATTTGCCGGGGCCGGAGCGCCGGAAGGTGAACTCGACTACGGTGGGGTCGAGGAGGACTATGGTCGTTAGGAGCCGCGGGTGCAGCAGGGAGAGCTTGGTCAGGACGGCGCCGCCGAAGGAGTGGCCCACGCCGACGATGGGGCGGGGCATGGAGGCGCGGAAGACGTTGGTTAGGTGCAGGAGGTCGCGGGCGTGGTCGTGCCAGGAGGGGTCGTTGCCGAGGGCGCGCTCGTTGGTCTGGCCGCTGTAGCCTTGGTTGGAGACGTCGGCGATCCAGATGCCGCGGAGGCGGAAGCCGTGCCGTTTAGAGCGGGCGTGGAGGTCGGCCCATAGGGGCTCGTAGAGCTCCTTGGGGAAGCCGTTGGCGTGGGCGCCGAGGATGGTTACGTCGCCGGGTTGGGGGGTGGGGTTGTCGATGGGGGTGTATTGCTTGATGCTGATGTAGAGGATGTCTTCTTGGGAGGTGCATGTTGCGCGGGGGAATTCGCGGATGTGTTGGGAGGGGATGGTGTGTTCGGTTATGTGGAAGGGGAAGGGTGTTGCCATGGTGGGTGGTGGTGAGTGAGTGTATGAGTGTATGAGTGTATGAGTGTCTAGGTATAATGTATGGGTATAATGTCTAGTTGACTTAGGTAGCTGTTGGCCTCTTGGGAGGGTTGGTTAAGAGGATGGGAGGTCTAGTAAGACTCGGCTCTAATAAGCGGCGGAATGTACTGATATGACTGAGAGCATCAAGGAACGAGCTTTTGGTTGTGATAGAAGAATTGAAGCATCTAAATGGAGTCTCATCCAATATCTTGCCGTCAATGAGGTGTTGTTATATTTAGCCGAGGCTGTCTTTTATAAGCTCCCAAACCAAGAACGTCGGGATAGATGTTGCTCTTAACTATAAGAGGAAGAAACAACAAATCGAGACAAATTATTAGCCAGTACCCAACTGGATTAGACTGTATACTAGACTTGCATACAAGGAAATCTAAAGTTGCGAGTATACGTCTAAATATAATACGCAGAGCCGACCTACCGATTTAATGGTTGTGATGATCAAAGGATCGATCTGTTTATGCACACAATAGGTACGTAGCTGCAGGGACAATGAATTATACCTCGGTCGATGCAAGGGGCGGGGGCTTATCGCGGGGGCAGATACGTTGATGCATCTATCAGGTGTAAACGGTATTTCGAGCAGACTTTAATTAATTGATATGCACTTGACGCGATAGTCACGCCACGCAGCCCACATTTCTACCTTAACCGCGTTTCATGACGCATTCCGTCTCTTATCTGCCTAATGCCTAATTAAACGGACTTGGGTAACAACATCTCAACTTCAACTAACTACCTACCTAATTACCTAAACTAGGAAATAAGAATTAGGTTTCCAAGTAGACTACCATTATTAGTTGAAGGAACGCTGACATACCTATAATCTACCCCAAGACTTTTACAACTGATCTAAAAGTATTGGGCGCATACTGGGGAAGACTGAAGTTGCCCCAAAGGTCCACTTGGTCATTGCGATCATGGCGCCACAAACGAGATCCCATGGCAATGCATCATCCAAGCCATCAGAGAGCAAGCCGTCAGAGAGCAAAACATACAAGTCAACTTCTGCAGCCCCCAAGCAGCTCTTATTCCCTGAACGTCAGCGCAACGTCAAAACATATGGGAAAACATCCAGACGTCGTCCTCGCGCTCCCAAAAAGCAATTGAAACAGGGTACACTAACCCAGATGGATTTCATATCGCCATCAATGCCTAAGGACTTACTCAAGTCTGAAGATGAAGAAGATGAAGAAGATGATAATGAAGAGCCCGAACTTCCTGCAGTTAAATCCAAGAAAAGAACCCGAGGGTCCCGACGCAAGACTGCGGGAGACGAACTAGTCAAAAATGAGAACACAAGAGATACCAAAAGACGGAAGACTTTAGGAGACGCACCTAGCTCAAACCCGTCGAGTAGCTTCCATACTCAGACTTTAACTCAGTTATTGTCAGTCAAGGGTGAAAATGATAACGAGGACTGGCAAATCAATGACTCGGAAGACGACGATACTGGCTTCATACTGGAGACTCCCAAGAAAGTAAAAGTGCCTGCTCCTTCTAAAGCCAACGAGCCACAGTCCGGAATCAGATCCTCGGTTCCAAGTCTCGTCGAGTCTGTCACTCCAACCAACCGTCGGACGAAGGAGGTCATCCCATCTTCTACATCGCCAATAACACCGATGATGATGCGATACAGCCCAGCACCACACAAGTCACCTCTAGTAGTTAAATCTGCCAACCTGACTGGTCCTTCTCCTATTCTCAAGATTAGCAAGACGCCAAGGGAACGAGTAATTCCAGACTCGTACAGTACGGCTCATAGCTCACCAACTATGCAAGCCCATAACTCTACTATCAAAGCCACCCCGGTCAAGAAGGCTCGTTTCGAATTTCCTGAAGATAAAGAAAACATCACCCCAGGAAGAACTAAACCAAAGACTCCAAAGCCGCTGAGGAAGACACCTGCGCGGCCACCCCTACGGGAACGGGAAGAAGTGCCTGATTCGGATGATGATATCAATGGAACAGGGGACGTCGGAGATGATGAGGCCAGTACAGGAGACGAGAACGCGCCAGCAGAACGAAATGGAGATGAGATCCCGTCAGCAGGTGATCCTGAAGAAGCAGCAGAAACCTGCTACGGCGTTATCGGAGAAGAAACACAGGCCGAGTTTCTTTTAGCAGAGGAAATCAATCGCGAACTTGAGGAGAGTGATTCGGCAGAGTCAAGTCGCTCACGGTCGCCCACCCCCACGCCGAATCCAAAGAAAATACGTGTGCTTCCTAAAGCACAGGTTGTAAACAAATCCACGCCTTCTCCGATTTTTGTGGCAGAGAAATCACCGACGTCGTATCTACAGAAAGGACAGCCAGACGAAAGTCCATTCAAGGCACAAACTCAGATGTCTACTCAAGGACTCGAAAGCCAACGACTCCCCTTGGAAGTCGTTCATTCTCTTGGTCCCCAGACTGACAACTCTGATATCATGGTGTCTCTTCACCCTGAACCCTTGGCAAAGATAATCAACGGTACGAAGAATCACGAATTTAGGGTCTGGAAAATACCGCCTACCGTAACCCGCGTCTGGATTTATTCGACCAGGCCGTTCTCCGAGCTGAAATACATGTGCACTCTTGGCCCTCCTAAAGTACCCGGAGAAATCGAGGACACCAAAGGGGTTGGAAATGTCGAGTTCAACCAAGGTAAAGCCGTCGCCAAGTATGCATACGAGATACTCCAGGTCTACGAACTCAACGACCCGGTTCCCCTCGACGAGATGAAGAGGAAGGGTTGGGTGAATGCTGCCCCGCAGAAATACGTATGGGTTCCTCCTGCAGTTATCGGAGAACTTACAGCAAATTTGAAATGTGCTCTGTTTGGTGAAGATGAGGAAGAGCAAGGAGCAGGAGCTGCGTTGGTGCCAAGCAGTCCGAATGTTACTGAATCACAAGAACTTGAGGCCCAACTACAGGATGATGCTGAATTCTCAACCCAACATCATTCTGATCACGTGAACGAAGTGATTCTTTCGAGTCAGTCTACGCGTAGATCTAGTGGCAGAAGCAAGAGAACCCAACCAGGAGGCAACCAGGGTTTTGCAAAGCCTGCACCGCCCAGATTACAATCAGGTTCTTCAACTCAGTCACCTCCGGCACCTCCGAGCCAGAGAACACACAGCGCCGTTAGACCGTCGCAGGCTACCACAGTCTCAAGCCCAGCATTATCCCCCGAGAGATTGCCCCCTCAAGTAATATCCATCGCCAGCGACTCGTCCGCCGCCAACCTGCACAGCAGCAGCCCGACGGCGTTCCGGAGTGCGCGAAATAACTCTCTGAGGTCCTCGCAATTCCTGACGCGGAGTCAGATGCTACCGGATAGTTTGATATTGGACGAGGTTCAGGAGCCGCCGCCTATTGTATACGATTCTGCAGATGAGCTGTCGGATTTATGAATGATGATGAAAACTACATTAACGTATGGCGTGTTTGTAAGATACTGGATTGGCGTCGTTGCATGGATAGGTCATGTTTACTTGGCTTGGCGGGAAAGGAAGGTTGCTAGGTATAGCTAGGAGTTCTAGTACGATAGGGTATGGTGCTTAGGTCTGTAAGAGTATTAGGGATTAGCTACGTTGCGATATAGCGATATATAATGATACGAGTGTTTCTTATGCAGCATTTGAGCTGATATTGAGTCCACAACTCTAGTCTATCGGGAATCCGGTTGACAAATTAGTATTAACTACCTAGACAAGAATCAACGTAGCACTCCAATATGTATTCCTTCATATCTGCCTACTAATTGGCCAGCCATCTTCTGAATCAGAAATATGACAATTCCTCGGGTATGAATAATATTAAACAGCTCATCTCCTTTACCGCACTCCGTATCTGTTCCTCCCCAGTCTCGACCACCTTAGGTAGGTACCTAGTTAAAACAAACAAACAAACACCCCCATCTGATCAACCCTAGTCATAATAACCAGGCTCGTAAACGTAGCGGGCCCCCCTATTGCAGCGGTGCATAATGATAGCGAAGACGATTACCGAGAGGAACCCGCCGGCGAATATCAACGCCAAGGCGCCGTATTGCTCGGCGCTCTGCTGCTGCTGCTGCCGGACGGGTTCCACCACGTATCGATGACTGCCGGGAGTAGTCGGGTGGTGGTCGGCGCCGAGGAGGGTGGGCGGGGAAGGAGGACAGATGTGCCGGAAGTGGGCTTTGAAGTTGGGGTCTAGGCTGCAGAAGTCGTGGTTTACGAGCGAGTATCTGTTGGTTGCGGAGAGGGAGGGGGGGTTGGTAAGTAAGAAGAAGGAAGGGTGGTTAAGGGGGAGGGGGGGGAGGAGAGGGGGGAAGAGGGGGCTTACTGTTTGCAGAGGTTGGAGCTGTTGATTATGTGTGCGGATTTAGTGCCATCTGCGCTCGGCACATCGATCCAGCAGGAGATGGGGTCGGCGGTGGGATCGCGGCGGGCTGCTGGGCGGTTTATGGGGAGACTTGGCATTTTGATTTGATTTGATTTGATTTGATTAAAGAATGATGCGTAAATGTTGGTTTTTGTATAGGAAATATCTATTTATATGATTGTTTCGGAATGTTGTTTACTCGCTTGCGTAGTAGAAGTAGTAGTAGTAGTAGTGGTGGTGGTGGTGGTGTTGGTGGTGGTGAACAGAATAGGGGTGAAGTATTAGCCAAGAGATCCATGTTTCTAGTTTACGAATTATTGCCTGATTGTAAGGTATATATATAGGGATTTGGCTCGTCTGGTGAGTATTATATAGGGTCTGAGTTAAAGTTTGTGTAATATCAATGCGTAGCGCAGGAGGCTTTATTAGCAAAGGCGCAAAGTTTTGTCTACGTGTTAGGCCTGGACGAAGGTTTTTTTTTTTTTTTTTTTTGCAGTAAGGCTTTTGGGAGAGATATATATATATATATATATATATATGATTATAGCATATTCTACGGCTTCTACGGCTTCTAATACATCATCACGACTATCCGGGGAAGTTTTAGAAGTTCTATATGAATACTAATTAGGTATATATCAGGCTAGTTAGTGTCACCTCTGGAGTCTCAAGATGGCGGTCATGGATTAGTTAAGCAAGGTACATCTAGAAAGGGGAAACGTAGCTGTCGAATAAGGCGTGAACTACATGGTAGACTACCTAGAAACTATGTCCTATGACTCATCTGAGCCAGCTAAACAGTTGAATACCACACGAACTTCACTGAGCATATTTAGCAAAACACTCCCTGATAGTTAATAAACATTTGCGTGTGCATATAAATCTACTACGACTACTATTTATTATATTAAGGTGTGTTGAGGATTAATATACTTGTTGGTTATTCAGCGTAAATCCGAAAATAAAGGGGGAAATAGAAAGGGGTACAAAATTATATAAGACTACCTACCTAACGTACTCGAGTATAGTTTCTAAGCAACGTTGGATCCCAATACAACCGATTATATACTTTGAAATGCTAACTAGACTGAGAACAGATTTCGGTGCTTCCACCTAAGCGTCTTAATTCGATAGGAAACCCATGGGTATATAGACGACTATATAGATGTCCTGCGGCGTAACATATCCGTCACGATGACATCATTGCGACGACAAGCTCGGTGTTATCTATAATTCAACATACTGCATTGGTCTCTTATATGTAATAGATAGGCAGGTGATCTGTGACCATACTTTTAAGAATAGTTCTGTTATCAGGCAGCAGTTACAAGCGAATAGGATAGCATATCACATCGGAGCAGACACTACGCCATGTCATCGTTATACGAGCAGACCGAAGCAAGCAGCACCGACAAGCCCTCTTTAAGTGAGTTCCGACGTCTTGGTACATCTGCTATGTAGTAGGCTGATACCCTCGCAGCCAAGTATGGTCATACTGCACGTGGCTCAGGCAGCGGGTTAAACGAGGATCCCACCTCTCGATCCGCGGACCAGCCTCAGGGAAGTCCCCAGGGAAGCCCTCAGGGAAGCCCTCAGGGAAGTCCTCAGGGACGTAAGAAGGGAAGTCCTCAGGGAAGTAAGAAGGCTGAGGCTACTACCGGCCAGCAGACCGGGACGGTGAGGACGTCGATGGCTAATGCGGCTAAGACGCAGGGCAGTGTTAGAGGAGAAGAGCAGAGTAGTATCGAACAATGTGAGACGTAGATACGAGGGTTTATAGGAAAGTAATCGCAAGACTGGAGATACACCATCTTAACTGTAATAACAGCGCCTATTAGTAAAGTTTACATTCCTGACCTACCACAGCCCAATCGTAATGCACCTGTGCTTTGGTCAATGCTCTTTTGATCTAGATAATAGTATGGCTAGAGTGCCAAATGGTAACAGCGTCAATTGCGTCACAGTTATGTACAAGCCGCCTAACTGGCATCTATTTCTTAGGCTCCTCTTTCTTCTCTTCAGGCTTAGGTGTGGGTAGTTTGAAAGTCTCGGGCTTGCGGTCGTCACCAGGACCAACAGGTTCCCAGGCTGTTGAGCCTCCCTCGAAGTTACGGAAGGCTTGCGTCAGCTCTAACGGCTCGGTGACGATGCGCTTCTTCTCTTCGTCGTATCGGATCTCGGTGTATCCCGTCAGCGGGAAATCCTTCCGCAGAGGGTGGCCTTCAAAACCATAGTCGGTCATGATTCGGCGTAGATCCGGGTGGTTGACGAAGAAGACGCCAAACAGGTCGAAGACTTCTCGCTCGTACCAGTTGGCGCCGTCGAATAGAGGGGTGGCACTCGGCACCGGCGTAGCCTCGTCGGCGTACGTCTTGACTCGGATTCGTGCGTTATGTCTTACGCTCAGTAGGTTGTAGACAATCTCGAATCGTTGGTCTCTAGTTGGGAAGTCGACGGCTGTAACAGTGGTCATCTGAGTGAATTCGGCAGCCGTATTGTCTAGCTTTCCGTCAGCTAAAAAGCTCATCCCTAGGCGGATAGGCGGATATATCAGCCCGGAATATGGATGCGTGTCTTACACTTGAGGAATGAGAGGACGGGTATGACGCCGGCGGGAGGGATGTAGATAACTAGTTCATCCTTCCACACGGAGAACTGCTGGATGTACTTGGGCAAGCAGCCCATAAGCCAAGCTCCGTACCGGTGGAGGTTTTCGGCTTTGGTGGAGTACTTGTCTGCAGGGTTGACGATAGGCGCCTTGAGTTCCTTGGGGTGTTCTCGCGGCGCATGCCTCATATTCGGAGCATCCTTAGGCAGAGCGACATTTTGACGAGCGGTCGCAGAGATGCATCGAATGGCGACTTGCTGCTCGGTACGAGATGGTAACGATTGTAACGAGGGTTTCGCAGGTCGCAGAGCTGAGGCGAGGGCTCTGCTTCGGCAGAGCTTTGTCGCCATGGTCGACAGACAGTGGCAGAGGAGCCAATTGATTGTAGAGGGATTATAGTCTATCGAGGATTGAGCTGTTCTATATTAGGTATTTAGGAAGTTCATGACCTAAGAGCCGGGCCATATCCAAATATGTACGTACAGTGCAAGATAAGATCGGGGATCGGGGAACTAGTCCAATCAGGTCGAGACAATTCCCAATTCTCAATTTGCGGAACAATATTAAGGCACCTTCCGACTACCCAGGGCACTTGCCTTAGGTAATGTCCATATGTGCTTACCTCATGTACAATACAATAGGTACACAGGTACCTGCTGCCTTACATGTACCTAACCTTACTAACTTTTTAAATGGCCCCTGCCCAATGATATACGAAATCACATAGTGCCGAATCCGTGACGTAGCACATGACCTTTGTACTTAAGTTTCCAACTTAATAAGTGTTCCTGTCCCTCGGATTCACTCCCACCAGGAGAGAAATTCACAGAAAAAAGTTGGATACAGCTTGCTTACTGCAGCGGTGAGACTGCATCAAAACGCGCTATTCGTAATTACCTAGCAACCGCCGGTTCAGATTTAAAAACCCCGCTGTTACCTACCTAGGTTTTGTTTCCGCCTCCAACGTTAAGAAAAAAAAAAAGCAAAAGAAAAAGGTCGAGCACAACTTATGTAATCGGTACCTAGCAATCTGCCCCGGTGCTCTCGCAAACGCAGGTAGCAGGGTACACAGCCTTGGAACAACAGCTGAGGCAAAAATCGAAATTGACGCTAAGACGCTAAGCCGTAACAGGCTATTGCAGTTTCCTAGCACGAATTGGGTTCAACCTTTCCTCTCGGCGCTCTGAACCAATCTTTCTGCATTAAACCTCCTTTGCCTTTTCAAACCTTCACCTGTTCTTACCTCTACGCCATCACCGCAACTGACTCACGGTCTGTACCTCACGTACGCCTTGTCTCCTACCACACGCGACGTTATAGAAACGCCTGTCATTTTCATCATACCTCTAATCTTCCTCGGTCGGGTTTTCACAAGGGGTTTCGCATGTTTTTTACTCCCGCTATAATATCCATTTCTTTTCACCTGCATAATCACCCGATATTTCAACCCAAACTTGACACATAGACACGACGCGCCCTCAGTGCACGCACCTGCCTTCGCCTTACTGGCCTTTGGTCTTTGGACAATATAATACCCGAGTGCTGGAGCTATTCTATCAACCAACCACAAGTTTCTAAACCAACCCTCCACACAGATCAATATGGCTCCTCAAGATAGTTTCATCGACGATGAGGAGGATACATGGTAAGCATACCCTCATACACCTAGTCATATTCTCTACATTCTTAAGACAGAAAGCTGACATCTTTCTATATAGTCCTCTATGCATAGAAGAGTTCGATCTGAGCGATAGGAATTTTAGACCATGCCCTTGTGGATATCAGGTACGAGCCTAGCACGAGTTGTTTTATAATTGTTGGATAGGATACTAATGGCTCTTCACTAGATTTGTCAGTTCTGTTATAATAACTTGAAGAACAATCTTAATGGGCTGTGCCCTGCATGTCGACGACCTTATGACGAAAAGGATATCAAGTGGAAAGTCGTCACACATGAAGAGTATGTTTATAGCGGAGAATATATAAGAAGGGTGTATGGCTAATATTATACAGGGAGGCAGAATTTCGCGCCAATATCCAAAAGAACCAGAAGAAGCGAGCATCGGAACAACGTCAAAAGGAGGTCCAGAAGCGCGAGGCCGAGAAGGAAAGCCGCAAGAATCTCCAAGGCGTCCGTGTCGTACAGAAGAACCTTGTATACGTAACAGGTTTGACGCCTACCGTACGAGAGGACGAACTACTCAAGACGCTTCGTAAGCCCGAATTCTTTGGCCAGTATGGCAATATCCAGAAAATCTCGATTAGTAATCGCAAATCTGCCGACGGTCAGCCTCAGTCTCTGGGTATCTATGTTACTTTTGAAAAGAAGGAGGACGCTGCTCGTTGTATACAAGCTGTGCACGGTTCGCATAACGGCGATCGAGTCCTCAAGGCCCAGTTGGGAACGACAAAGTACTGCTCAGCGTGGTTAAGACACGAGCAATGCGGAAATCGACAATGCATGTTTCTACACGAGCTAGGCGACGAGGAGGACAGCTACTCCAGACAGGATCTTTCCTCTCTGAACAGTGTTCATACCCAACGTCCACTATCGAATGCTGCCTCATCATCACGTTCTACATCACGACAACAGGTCTCCCACCTACCCGCGGCTATCTCGCAGCCTATGGCCCGCACTGCTAGTAAAGAAGGGTCAGATGCCGGTGACGGGCCAGCCTTGCCAGCTTCAGCAAATTGGGCACGTACTACTCAGCAGCGTAGTAGAAGAGGTAGCCACGCTACGAGCGGTGCAGCTTCGAGTCCTGCCATCTCGACTTCATTGCCGGTTACCAGTGAATCAACACAAGAGGCCGTTGAAACCGCGGTGACAACGGAACCGCCTCCTCCGGCTGGCCGGAAAGCAGAGAAGCAGCCGGTAGCTGATACGCCTACTAAGTCCGAACCTGCTAGCACCAAAGCTGTGTTCGATCCGGAAGACGAGGTGCCTGATTTTGGCGAGCTCTTTAAAGTCATTGCCAATTGCCCTCCTGACGCATTTCTACCCCCTAAAAACAAGGATGATTCCTATCCCCCCTTATTCGACGTAAACGGCGGTGCGAAAAGACGGGCTATGAGGGAAGAGGAAGAGAATCGCTTAGGTGACCACGAAGAGCAAGTCGACAACTTAGAGGCATCAGAGGGCGAGCCTGAGAGCGGTAGCCTTGCGCTTGGTGGGGAACCGGAAGACAGAGATCAGGGTCGCGATAATGGTCGCTATGACCAGAGGCGAAATCCGACGCAACCTCCAATCCAACGAACTAACACGAGCGACCTGTTTGGACCAAGCCTATCTGGCTACGCCCAGAACCCCACAGCGATCGGCTCTGTTGGCGGCCGTACGATAACGCCACAACAGCAGCAACAACAGCTCCAGCAGCAGCAGCCGCTCTTCGTTCGTCCCCAGGGTAGTTTCGCCGACCAGATGCCACCCGGTATCTCGCCACAGTCCTCGCTCTTCCAGGGCCAGGGGCACAGTCGTCAACAGTCTAGGTTTAGCTTTGCGAACGAGAACAGTGCTAGCTCGATCAACGTGAAGTCAACCGCTGACCCGCGATACATGGCACAACAGTCATCTATGATGCCATCCACATATCGCTCGCAGCCAGGCAACCAGCTCTATTCTTCTATACCAGGACCCCCGCCTGGACTCAAGTCCGCTGGTTCAACGCCCGTTAATGGTGGCATGTTTGGCCAGGGGCATTCGTTTGGAGGATCGGCGTTTGGCGCGGGATCGAAGGATAATTCTAGTGAACTCCTCCAGTCTATCATCCGTGGAAGGGGCGCGGGCAGCGCCCAGGCCCACGAAGCGGCAAAGCGTGAGTACTTCCCTTTCAGTAATCAATACCCACCCTCCACCTCCTCCACCCCAGCTCCTGCTCCGGCTCCGGGCCTTCTGGCATCGCTCCATGGTACCCAGCCTGGGGCTTTCCAAGATTTCGGACCAAAGCAGAAGAAGAAGGGGAAGAAGCACAGACACGCTAACACTTCCTCCTCTGGGGGGAGTGGCTTAGTAGATCTTGCGGACCCGAGTATCCTGCAGGCGAGAATGCAGCACCAGCAACAGGGAACCAGCGCCGGAGTCGGACAGGGGCTGTACGGTGGACAAACCCAAGGTGGGTACAATCCCAGCATGGTTTATGGGAACAGCGTATACGGCGGCAGGTGGTAGCTGCTTTGTAGCGCATGAGGAGTATGGCGGCGCGTTTGTTTTCTTTTCTGCTTGGCTTCGCCAGGGGTACGTCAGGGGCGTCTAGGTTTTCGGAAGGGGTCAAAGGAAATAATCGGAATATTCCACAACATTGTTTGAGCGAGCATTGCAGAGAGGCATGGCCCAGGGCGGGTCTAGGTTGCATTTGGCGTCACCATTGCTCTTGGAAACGACGAGGCTTCGCGGCCAGTGCTTTGCCTTTCAGATGATACACACTTCTTTTCTGGCACTATTCTATTGTTTGTTCCTCGCATTATTCGGTCATATGGTCACGTCAGGCAAGCCATCGTCGTCTTCCACAAAGTTCTTCATGTACGTTAACACGCAGGTCGATCCTCCAGACCAGGCCTGAGAGGCTGCTCAATATAGCATTTCTTCCTCGTACCCGATGCTCTTGTCATATATAAACTTGTGGAAGACGACGATGGAAACTCCGTGATGCGTCGCTTGCTTTTTCTGCCTCCTCAGTATTGTAGTTCATCGCGTATATTGGTAAGAGTAAGCTAACGTACCGTGTCTCTTAGACGATGACCTTTTACCCCTCGACGAAGTTACCTCGTCGGTGGATGCTCTTGTTGCGGATCCCGACGTCCCCGACGCTCGTTTGCCGTTCTTGAAAGACGTTGTAAGGATACCGTCTGTGCCACCCGGGCTTGGCCTCAGTCATTCCCATCCGCCGGCGCAACTTAATGAGAGTAGCTCAACGCCCGTGCCACATGGCCAGGGAAGCCAAAATGCGCCGATATTTGGAAAATCGCCCGCTATTACGCGGCCTGTGACTCCTCTCATACCCAAAACGCCTGTGAAGCAGCTGGCTTCAACTAAAAAAGAAAGTACTCCTGCCGTCGGAACTGAAGCGAGGAAAAGTATCAAGGAATTAGCGGCAAAGAGTGGTTTGTCCAAGGACATAGCTGCTCAAGCGTCGAAGTCTAAAGGAAAAGGTGTGCTTCAAGAAGAGGATTTTCCAGCTCTAGACTCGGTCAAAGCGAGCTCCCCTCCCAAAGTGACGCCAGCCTTGCCGTCCAAGCCACCAACTACTACCAAAACGCCCCAGGGTAAGAAGGCTTCGAACGATAATATAAGCAAGGCATCTCCAGCAAAGCCCACACCCACCAAATCCGATAAACGTCCAGTTCCTAGCACGCTTGACATCGCAGCCGCTACGAAGACCATTCCCCAACCTGCTGTTAGCGAAACAACCGGTGGAACAGATAAACCCCAGCAAATACCTACTAGTATTTCCCAAGCCAGCAAATCCCAGGGTGCTTCCGCT